ATTAGCAAATAGTTTAATTATAACTTATAATTTAACTTATATTGTAAAAATATTACAAAAAATATATCGGTTCCAGGTCGTCGGACAATGTCATGTAATACATGTTGGAATGAGCCGATGAGTAGGTGTAGAAAATCACTTCTTGAATGAATCTAATAATATTATTCCATGGTCAATACAAGATAATGTAGCCCATATAAATAATGTAGTACATCGTACAAATCAGCTCTATATGCATATTTAGAAAATGCCATCTTGGGCGGATTTAAAGAAATTATCTTCTATTGACCATGGAGGAATATCAGCAGATCCAGATTAAGAAGTATTTTCTATACCTTCATCGAGCTTATTTCAACAATGTATCATATGACATTGTCCGATGACCTAGAACCGCTATGCTGATAATTCATACCTATACTTTCTATTGATCAGATAACTCCATTAAAGCATCTCTCTATTTATCACATTATGGTTCCAAAGTTATCACAATAGCAATATTTTGTAGGTAAACACTTGTAGGTCAAATGTCCTGTAGGTCAAATGACAAAATACCTAATTTACCCTAATATAACAGAATATACTTGGTTATATAGGTCGACGCTCTATAAAAACTATACTTTTTGCTGTGAAATATAAAGTGGATCAATTAAATCTGCAACGATCATTTGTTTAATAGCTCGCCTATTAATTGTAGCAAAAATCTATACTTTGGAACACTTATAGTTCATTATGAGGTAGCCTTGACAAAACAAGAATATTCTTTCTGGCATCAAGAATATTCTGTGATATTGGACGATTTGCTGGACCCATAGTCAGCTCAAAGATTGCAAATGTTAAAACGATACGGAGTTAGGGGTATGATAGAGGAGATACTATATTTCAATAATATCAAAAAATAATTAAAAATATATCGCATGCCTGCTTACAGTTTAACTTTGAAAATGGTCAATTCCGCCATAGACTCCCATATGTTTGCAAAATAATATAAAATATTTGAAAATGTTTTATGCCTATAATAAACACAATTAAATTCCAATATGAATAGAACAAAAAATTATTTTTTTATATTAACATTTACAGGTTTTCCAAATTGTTTTATAAATCCAAAAAGTGCATTATTTTCCGTTTTAATTGATTTTTAAAACTCTTAATAAACCCATAAAACTTAATATTTAAAAAAAATTTTTGTTCAATACAATAGAATTTATTAGCGCTTATGATAGGCATAAAACATTTTCAAATATATTATTTTATTTTGCAAACATATGGGAGTCTATGGCGAAATTAACCATTTTTATAGTTAAACTGTAAGCAGGCAAATCTCAACTGTAAGGATAAAATCTCAACTGAAGTCAAGAAAAGAATCGCATCTATTGATACTGACTTCAAGCCCACTAACTATGACTCACATTATATTCATTTCTATTGATAATACTTTTCCTTATATTATATCACTACTATCGGAATTACTTCAGAACCTATAATTTAATACATAGAACTGATCCCTCAGTCTCTCCCTCCGCTCCTGTAATTCTGGAAATGAATGGACAATTGATTGAATCACAGACTGGACAGTCAGTCACACCCTCTGGAACCCCTACTACTAAAATAAAACTACTATCTCATCCGGTAGTATTAGCCACTAGTCTTACTACTGAGTCCACCAATTCATACAACAAAATATCTTAGTCACTTTTAATTCATTAAATATTAGTGTTGTGAATAGTTAATAAGTTTACTAATATTATAAAACACTATTTTGAAGATTTTAAAAATTCTGGACGGGCCTGCCCTAGAGAGCTGTAAATTTATGAATATGATATAAACTATACGTACAATAATCATAGATATAAATAATACATGTATGCACATTTCCAATAATATATTGCACGGGTATCTGAAGAGTGCAATACTTACCCAAAATGTGAATACCGTTTCCATTTGTGTGTGAATTAATACCCAGACACTCATCATAGTCTCCGAAGAAATATGTCGTTCCTATTATGATACCGGTGCCTGATGTGGCCGAAGAGTCCACCACTTAATTTAGGATAAAATGATTACTTCTGAACAGCCATTCCTGTTGGACTGTAAGGCTATCGTCCAAAATTAATCAATATGTGTATAGCAAAGTTATGACATGGAAAACGTAGAGAATTTAATTCTCAATCATATAAAATTAAAAATGTTTTCTTAATTCGTAGCACCAGGAGGAAAGGGATGTATTTTATAGCGGGAAAACTACAAGTCTTAGCATAAATCTAATTTGTGCGTTGAATAGAGCTCAAGATGTGTTCTTGAGGGACATTAAAAATTTTTCAATTATCACTATAAATAAATGTGATTTATGATTATTTTCAATGTTCTCAATGGCATCTATCAATGGAAAAATGCGATATTTAAACAGCTCTAGCACATTTATTTGTAGTGATAATTGAAAAATTTTAAATGTCCCTCAAGAGCAGATTACCGGATCTAGATAGTCTTATTACACCATAT